TGATTTGGGTAGTTCTCAGTATTTCCTTTTGGGCCATCTTATATGAACTTGACTCATCAGTTATAAGAAACTCTGTAAACCAAACTACACTTCTGCACCAACAAAGAAGATCATTTCATGAAAATATGTTCATCTTTAGTTAATCAAATTAGGATAGATTTAAATGTCTCTCACTGTTGGACACGTAGTCATGTCTCTATCTATTCTACTGGAGGGATACCCATGATACCGGTACCCTTGAATGCAACTCAGATGTTAGCCCCTTACTATTGAGATTTTCATGGAAATGAAACTTGGCAGAAAGTAAGTTGCAACCAGTCTGACTATGTACGATTAGCTTATGCCACTCCTGGAAAGTTCTGTTGGACCTGTAATGGATCTCATGTTGTAGTAGGAGTCAGTAAGTGCAAGGCAGAATTTAAGATAAATGGTGTTTGGTTTTCTATTCGTTCATGGATATCTAACTACTGCCCGGCAGGTCAATTTTCAGGCTATTATTCACAAGGGATGATGTCCCCACACTGTAACACAGGTGGATATACTGCACTAGCTGGTCACTATTTTGTGTGTAGAGATAAGGCCTATAAAAATCTTCCCTCCAGTTGGAGAGGAACATGCTAGGTCTCCGCAGCATATCCTGCCTTTACTATTAAATCTCACTTACCTAAAGGAAGAATTCGCAATGTTCACGAAATTACAGAAAATCAAACACAACGCCCCCCCACCAAAACAAACAAACAAACAGGGAATATGGTAATAAATTTAGTCAGGCTTCTGATCTACTTGACTAGAACAAAGACCAGAAGAGCTGATACTGCTTATTTCAGTTACATGTTTTGAGATAAGGAATCCTGCATGTCTTATTACCCTGTGCACAGATGTCCAAGTAAGTAAACTTGTTTTAGTTTCTCCAAGGTTGTATTTTTTTTTCTCTTTATCTGTCTTAAGCATAAAAATGCTTGAAAACTTAGAGAGGAGGAGGATTCCTTTGAAACAGACAAGTGGGTGATTCCCCTTGCTGTATGAAATCCTCCCTGTGATCACAGTATAGCCCTAAATAAAGGGCTCTGTCAGTTCTGATTCAACCACAAGGCAAAGTTTGATTTCTTCCACATACCTCACTTATGAGAACTTGCTGTGATAACTCCCCTGCCATTCTCCAAATGCAACTCCATCTTTCTGAAAAGGAGTCAGCCATGGGTGACTGACTGGTACCTCCTGAATCTGGGGTGGCAGGGCTGGCGAGCACCCGTAGAAGTCGGCAGCGGCAGCAGCAGCAGGGATGGGGCTGGTGAGCACCCACAGAAGCCGCCAGCAGTGTTAGCAGCAGGGAGGACACGTGCTACCCCATGCCCCCTCAACTAGTTGCCTATGGATTCAGCAGTCAAGGCCCACACTGCATTTTCTTCCTTCTACAAGGATCTCAGCCTCTGCAGAGATGCACTGGGGTGAGCAGAATCTCCCAGTACCTGAAGCAGGGTCTATTTTCCTATTCTAGATTCAGTGTAGGAGAATGTGGCCCTTGTCATGTCCATGTAGAGTCCTGGACACAGCTGTATCAACTGTAGTCACACTTGAAGGTCAGGCTTTCCTGAAAAATTCAGTCCCCAGAATGTGAATAATGACTTTGCAAGAAGAGAGAAGGCGGGGCTGTCTAAGCTATGCAAGACAGGCAGCAGGCATCAAATCTCAGGAAATACACCTCTGGCAGGCTGGGATCAGCAAGTCCTGCTGGGCCATTTGCTTTGGTTTCCTGCCAAAGGATTGGTAAGACATACAGCAAAGAATGTGCAATGACTTTAAATATGAATTTCAAGTATTGTACAGTCCAATATCATTCACTGAAGCTTCCATCACACGCTGCGAGAGGCTTCACTCTAAGGCTCAGCAAGGAATGCGAGTTGATTTAATTTTATTCATACCAACAGACATGACTGGCAATGGAACAGAGCACCCTTCACCTGTATGATGGTAACCAAGAATGGCCACCACAAAACAGTGGCTTGTTGACCAAGGTGACATAAGGTGGTGGCTTCACACTACCCCACCTTGTTTGCATGCAGAGAATCCAGAGAGTGACTGTTTAGCAAAATGGAGCTCCTCTTTCCACCTTTTGTTTTCAATCTTGATCAGGTCCATATTGGGGGGCTACATGTTGGAGGGCTGAACCTGTCTTGGGGACACAGCTTCATTATCAAAGACTGTCAGCATTCCCCTTTTGCAAGCACTGAGAAGGCACCACAGGAAATCAAATACCAAGCTAATCTTTGTCCAAGATATACGACTTAGAAACTTGTGCACAATTGAGAGGTGACATGAAAGACTTGAGTGATGCAATGGAGGGCAATGGCTCCAGGCTGACCCAGCTAGAGTAACCAGGCCAAGCATGGGAGCCAAAAGCCATTAATCACTGTAATTAGCATCTACAAGATATGTGAGAACTACTTAAACAGATGCATGTTGAAGAGGTGGCTACTGCATTTTGAATGGAGGCAGACAATTAATCTCCATGCTGTAATTGCTATACTTTCTTCTGCTGTTGATTTAACATGGCAGGGAACCGCAAGACTCATACCTATTATGAAATACCCAAATACAAGTCAGAATGTAGAGTAGCAGTTCTAGGTCAGAGTTTCATCATTACTTAGTTTTCATTCAAACCTCAGAGCAGTAGTTTGCATCCAACGCATATAACATCTCTGGTAGTTTTAGAATAAGGAGACAACACTTAAGTGACTTAGAAAGAGTTGGGTATGTTAGCCAGCCCTCTTCCCACAGGCAGGACTCCCTTCGTACACTTATACAAAACACCTGACTTTAGGGATCACCCAATTTACAGAATAGGACCCCTTTCCAAAACTTATGGTCATGATGTTAAAAGAACTACAGGGGACACTATGGTAGCAATGCAAGGCATCTCCTTCAGCTGAAGTCCACCAAAGAACATAAACCAAATCCTGGGAATTCAGGACCCATTCTGCAAACCACTAAACACCTTTATTTACGTGTTTGTTGTAGCATGCTACAGGTGCTGGTTGCTTTACAGACACTCAAGAACAGAGTCCCAGCATGAGGAGCTTGCAGTCATGTGATGGACAGCCAGCCAAGTAGAGAAACAAGAGAATAGAAGGAGTTTCTATGCAGACATCAACAAGACTAACTGCTGGGGAGAGTCAAGAGCACTTGCTCTCTTAGCATTCAAACAGTGCGTTGCACATTTGGTCCTAATTGACTTTTTTTTTTTAAATGACTTGTCAGTTTTGCTTGGGGTCCAAGTTGGCACAAGATGGAGTATTTTAAATATGCAAAGAAAGATGGTCCATAAAACCCAGTTATGGAATCCCTCTTTGAACTCAGTGTTTTATTGCTTGTGATTATTGCTTAGTTACAGTTTGACACAATGTTGCTTTGGGATAAATTGGCACCTACTACATAATTTAAAATACCACGTAGTATCTTACAGCTTGTACAACTGGCACTTAGTAAGGAAGTACAAAGATTTGTCATTTTAACCCAAGACTTAAAAAAAAGATAAAATATTTATATCCTTTATTGTTGGCAGGTGAACGTTCATTGTAGAAGGCCCCTCAACAAGTGACCAGAAAGTAAATAACTACATCCCCGCAAAAATATATAAAAGTTATAAGAGACTTCTTTCATATTCACACCAGCCCTCTGGGTTTGGTACTGTGCACTTTTCTGAAAGAGACAAGGGCTTTACATTCACTAGCAAAGTAGGATGTTCATGTCTAGACTGGATACCTTGGGTGACAGAAGAGACAACACTGTACCACAAGTTGTCTTCCTGGCTCTTGCCAGTATGGTAATATTTGCTCTCAGTTTTTTCCATCTAAACTGACAGTCTCAAGATCTACCAGTTCCTAGTGATTGATAAATATTTACAGTTGGTTAAAATTTGAGGAGAGTCATTTTGAGTAAAGAGAAGACACCTGCAATCAGGGCGTTGCATTTGCTCCACTGACCTGTTATCTATGTGAAGTGTGAAAGATCTCCATAAGGTAAGTGATTAAACAGTAAATGCACAGGAGAAGTCCCCGAGGGCTGCCTCTCTCTTCTCATCCCATTCACAACGGTAGACAGCTTAGAAAATAATCAATCCCAAGGCGGCTGCTCTTTAATCTCCAAGCACAGCTGCAGATCACACACTGAATTATTTCTGTACCTCCCCTTCAGGCACAGCTTGCAGTTCAGAGTGCTTGGGGGATTAGCTCTTTTAAAGCAGGACCAAGTGCTCCACCTTGTGTTAGTCCTGGAGATGACCAGAAAGGCTTCTATGCCTTTTCCAGGCCCCTAGCAGGTTCCACTGAACACGTAACAGAGTCTTCTGCTTGGGTACCCTTTGCTCCCATGGTGCCATATGACTGGTGCTCAGTCTGAGCTAGTGTTGTCCTTTCCGTAGGGTGATGAAGCAGGACCCGTGGGATGTACATCTAAAATAGTAGATGTTTGGGATTTTATTACTCCATCATGTAACTTTAACAATGGAATACTTTGCTGCATTTCAAATCTCTTCCTATCATCATCCCTCTATCTTTGCATCTCTGCCTGCCTCACCTGAACACCTACATCTCCCCGAACCCTGGAAGAAATATTTTAGTGCAAAACTCAAGTGTGTATGCATGTCAATAAGCGTGCCGTTATATACCAAGGTTTCTACCCACATTCACATGGGCAGTACAGGAAAACCCAATATATAAATCAAAATGCTGCGGCCATTTTTGATGATGTAGCATTTACATTCTAGCATTCACAACTCCCTCTTTGTCCCCATGCAATGTGACTGGTCAGGCAGCATTCAAAAGCAGCCAATCACACAGTGCATGGTGTAAAAATGTAGCGAACTGGAACACATCGTAGATTTGTACCAAAAAAAGAATCTATTTAAAAATACAGTATTGCACCTATTGCTAAAACATCATTCTAGGTCAGTTGTCACCAACCAGTGGCCCTCGATCCACCAGTAGATCTTGGAGCCTCTTGGAGTCTATCCAAGGCTGGGGTGGGGGGCTGAGTGCCCATGTGCACGCATGTGCACACCTCAGCCCCACGGGTCAGTCCATGGGGGAAGGAAGGGGCAGGGGCTAGACTGACACCCCTGTGGTGAGGGACAATGCTGCAGAGGCAGGAACAGGGGGGCCCCAGCTGGATGGGACTTAATTGCTGGGGAAGCATGCCCCCAAATAATTTTCTCTCCCTCTGCCTCAATCTGCGCCCCCCGCCACAGACTTACCTACTGGATGGTGGAGGAGTGGGGGGAGGCAGTGCACAATAGATCTTGGGTTGCTTTTAAATGCAAAAGGTGATCTCCTACATCACCACATTCAAACATGCTGGACAAGCACATTGTTTTGATTAGCTTGTTCTTAAGTGAATTAATACCTGCACCCCCACACCACTCAAACTAGTAACATCCTACCCAAGCCCTTTGCCTGGCAGGGTTAGGAATTCATTTTTCAAGGCAAGGTAAGAAAGACTACTGTTTTTTTGTTAAGGACTTACAGAATGTCTTGGAGCTTCTCCTCTGTCAGTGTCACTTCCTCTTCCACCTGACACTTCTTCTATCTGAAGGCAGGAAGGGGGTGGGAGGAGGGGAAATGTCAAATTAGTAAATCGGTGCTACAAAGAATGGTTTGGTAGAAGGTAGGATGGGAGAGACTAACAGGCTAGTGTCTAAGGTGCACCCTTCCCTAGCTTCTGCTGGACTTCAAGGTAACATGGTTAACTACCTCTGTGCACACAGAATTGGATGTAAACCTACATGCAGTAGTAGGTTACTGGAGTGTATATGTTAAGCACAAAGCCCACTTACAAAGTTATAACAAACTCTACTATTGCAGATGCTTCTCTCAACCCTCCCCCTTGTATCTGCCTCCCACACAATCACCTTGGGCTTTGAACTCCTCTCCCCACCACCCTGTGACATTTTCAATATGCAAAACTACCCATCTCAATCCAGAACCTCCTCAGTACATTACAGGAGTGAACCCTTTTGGGCTGACCCAGCTGCCACTGACATAAATGGAAATTTTGGCTTTGGCTCCAGAGGGAAAAGACTGTGCAGTGTGAAACTGGCCAGGGCTGCTGGCTGCTTATCATCACTAAAATTCGATACCATTTACCTTGTAATTCAGAGGGCTCAGGTACTTGAAGCAACCAAAACAGGTGTAAGCTAAGCAGACAACAATGGTGATGCTGACAACTAGGAATGTGAACATAGTTGTGGGTGCTTTAAAACCTAAAATAAAACAAAAACAAACTAGACAAGGTGAAAAAAAAATCTATCAAATAAAAAATATTAGTGTGGGAGAAAAAAAAAAAAAACAAAACCAAAAAACACCCAGCCAAAGAACTACTGCTCTTAACCCCCAAGTCCCTTCTCTGTGTTCTCTCCCATAACCCTCAGATACTCATATTTCTCCTAGAGTACTGGACAAAGCTACCTTCGATGCTGGTTAATGAAACACAGACTGGCTTACCCCAGCACAAAAACTTTTATCCTGGGATCCTACAGAATATAAGCTCACTGTCCCACTATAAGCACCCGTGGAGTATCCAATAACGTTGCTCTATGACAGCCAAGGCTAGTTGGAGTTAACTGATACTCAAGCTGCATGTATAAACAACTGTCCCAGACTGATGAGATGGGGGTCAAAACTGAGGACAATCAGCTAGGGATTAAACTGGCTGTCTGTTTTTTGCTTTAGTTATCCATAACAATTGTTGGGGAGTCCTACAGGTCACTCAAGAAGCTGTAGAAGTTGTGCACACAGCTATTGCCAGGTTAGGGACTGAGACTGCTAAAACTTAAATCATGAATTAACCACAGATTCCACCCTTGGCATCTGCCCTTGTCCAATTCATTATTTTCACTGACAACTTGGATGATGAAACATGAAGTACAGCTAGAACATTTGTAAAAGGTGCCAAGCTGGGAGGGGCTGCAAGCCTGCCAAAGGACAGGACCTTCAGAAAGTCTGGATAAAAACTTGCGAGTGGGCCAGAATCTACAATATGAAAGCCATTAAAAATAAGTGCAAAGTGCTATGGCTGAAGGAGAAGGAATCAAATGCACAAATACAAAATGGGGAATAACAGGCTAGGCAACTTGTCTGGTGTAACAGGACCTGGTGGTTGTGGTGAAGCACAAACTGAATAGGAGTCAACAATGTAGTGCTGCTGCAAAAAATAAGCAAACTTCATTCCTACTTAAAAATACGGCCTGGGATGTCACAAGTAAGACCTGGAAAGTCCTATTTCTGCTGTGCTTGGCACTGGTGAGGCCTCAGCTGCAGTGCTGTATAGTACTGGACACCCTGCTGACAGAGACAGACAAACTGGAGTTTGTTCTCCTCAGAACTATCAAGAGAACAGGAGCCATGAGAAAAAGCTGAAGGAACTGGATTTGTCTAGTTTAGAAAAGAAAACACTGATGTGAGACAGGACAACAGTTCTTCAGCATGTAAAAGGATAGTGATCTACTATCTTCCACATCCACTAAAAGAAGAACTAGAGGAAATGGTCTTCCCTTGTAGCCACAAAGATTTAGCTAGTATGATTGTAGGGGAAAAATTTTAAAATCAAGAGGGCAATGAAATAATAGAACACGCTACCTAAGGAGGCTAGCACACAATGGGGAACTCCCTACTTGAGAGCACGGAGGC